AAGTGCGAGTTATGCACAGAGGCGACAGCTCAGGCTCATCATCATCAGCGGTAAGTACTTTTTTTTTTTAAGTTTTAAATGGTTTTATCCTTTAAAGCTTTTTTTTTTTTTTTTAATTAATTGATCAATTTCTCAAATTATAGTGAGTTCAATGCACTGCTAGGATACTTAAGTTTAATACAAGGCATGTTATATCAGTACAATCACTTTAAAACAGTAATCTTAAATGTACCGGCATCTCTCCGTGTTTAATCTTCATTGACTGTTGCTGTGGGTATATTCAAATGCAAGAGTCGCCGATTCACGCTCAGCCAATCCCTGTAGAGAATTTCGGTCGTTGGGGGAAGTCTTTCCCCCCTCACGATTTCATCCCCTCTTCTCTCACGTTGTGTTGTGCACCAGCTTATAAAATTCACGGGTATGCAGTTGCATAGCAGCACAGAGATAAGGGTATATTCCCAGAGAGAGTCTTTGCTGGAGGCTGATTTTCTGCATATTAATAGACACTGTGCAGCAGTTGGTGTGGAGGATGTTCAGTCCATCCTGTGTACATCATCCATCCTGTTTTCTATTCTTGGGGATGGATTTACGTGTTTATTAGTGATTCATCATCAGCCTTTTTGCAGAATATACCACTGTCCATGAAACACTGCCACACTGATTTAAAGACATTTGCAGCAAAAAAAGTAAATTCTTTGACCAGATTTTTATTAATGGAGATATGACAATTAAATGGTCCAATGTTTGATTGTTCTTGTTTCCACAGGAAAGCACCAAGTCTGAGCCAGACACTCCCTGCCTGTCCATCAAGCCCACAGGCAAGGACTTCTACAAAATCCTGGGTGTTACCCCCGAATCCAATGAAGACGAGATCAAAAAGGCCTACAGGAAGATGGCTCTCAAGTTCCACCCAGACAAGAACAGCGATGCCGATGCAGAGGACAAGTTCAAAGAGATTGCAGAGGCCTACGAGATCCTGACTGACCCCAAAAAGAGAAGCATATATGACCAGTTTGGAGAAGAAGGTGAGAGTGAGGGAGTTTTGACACTGTTGTGATTTCATTTGCAATTGTTGCATACCTGAAATAGTAACTGCCATCTGGCTAATTACTGTAGCAGAGGCTATGTGGATTAATGATTCATGTCAACATCAAGGATAAATGCTCATGTGCAGTGGGAGGATCATGACTAAAACACTTCCACTCCTATTAGCTGAACATGTGCAGGATAGACAGCTGTGGTGGTGATTAATTATTGAGAGAGCAGTGTTTTCCATAAAACTCCTCAATAGCAGATGTTTATTAAACCTTCTAGAAAGAAGGGTTTTATCAAATTAGCATATTTTAATGAATTTAACTGAACTCTTTCTCTTTCTCTGTGTTTTTTAGGCCTTAAAAGTGGAATGTCAATGGCCGGCCAAGGCAACATTTTCCGCAATAATTTCCACGGTGACCCCCACGCCACATTCTCCTCGTTCTTCCACGGCTCCGACCACTTCGACATCTTCTTTGGCTCTGACGTTGACAGCGAAGATGACCTCTTCAACCCCTTCAGGCGGTTCCCCTTCAGCCACGTTGGCGGGTTCGAAGGCGGGCTGCGAAGAGGCCAGCGGCGGCTGCAGGGCGAAGAGGTGGTGCACGACCTGCTTGTGACCCTGGAGGAGGTGATGCACGGCTGCACGAAGCACGTGAAGATCTCCCGCAGCCGCCTCAACCCTGACAGCCGCAGCCTGCGAACTGAGGACAAGGTGCTAAATGTGGTGGTGAAGAAAGGCTGGAGAGCGGGAACCAGGATCACCTTCCCCAGGGAGGGAGATGAGACGCCCAACAGCACCCCTGCAGACATCACCTTCATTCTCAGGGACAAGGAGCACACCCAGTACAAGAGAGATGGCTCCAACATCGTCTACACAGCCAAGATCACCCTCAAAGAGGTGAGTTTGGAGCCTTTACATCAAGCTTAGAGGTCTATCAGGGTTAAGAGTTTGACTTGGTCCTGAGTAAATTAATGATTTATTACGCAACATGTGACTGGTCTATAAGTAGATATACTATATAGCCACTTACACCTACTCACCTACTCAGAGAAAGGCTAAAATCTTTCCACCACATCTTGTTCTTTACATAACTGATCGCATGATCCATTCTCTGAAATACTGAAGAAAATCAATTACTGAAAGGCATCAATAAGATGTACGAAAGAAGGAGTGATTTCTGCCAACTGCAGGCAGGGATATATCCTTGAATACATTCTTAGGACAGAACAGGGTGTTCTGTTATGGGCATTTGAGTCCCCAGCTTACAATGGGCTGACAGACCCCCGCTAACAGAACAGCAGCAGCAGCCTGCCAACGCCTCAGCTACCTCATCGGCCCCTGCAGAGTGAGAGAGAGCAGGAGCTAAATTTAGCCTCGGCACTCACTGCCCCCACAAATCGCACTTCACTCTCACTCTCAGCTACTATGTGTGCTGCAGACTCCTCTGCCTCTACAAGGCAGGCAGAGAGGCAGCTTTTTTGGCCCGCTCCATCGCTGGCTCTCACTTCTACCAGCCCACACACAGATTAGCAGGGTAGCAGTCACAGAGACTGGCATTTCAAAGAGCTCCTCCATCTTCCTATGGCTCCTTTCAATCACTAAAGCACTTACTCCCACACACAGTCAGAAAATAGGACAGCGATTATAACATCTGTAACACCGGTTTGTTGCATAACACAGAAAATCATTATGCTTTTACAAAGACACTCCATATTTAACCGTTATGTAACTTGACACTTTTAAAAGATCAGGCATTTAATTGATTTTTTCCCCAAGTGTACTTCATCCCAGTCAGACCACTCAGAAACCTTATGCAACTTGTTCTAAATATAACAGGTCTACAGAACTAACCTTTTGTTCCTTTTTTTTTTCTCTTCCAGGCTCTCTGTGGCTGCACAGTAAACGTCCCAACACTTGACAACCGTATGATGCCTCTACCAAGCAGCGATGTTATCAAACCAGGTGCCGTCCGGCGGCTGAGGGGCGAAGGCCTGCCAATGCCCAAGAGCCCGTCCCAGCGTGGCGACTTGGTGGTGGAGTTCCAGGTGCTCTTCCCCGACAGGATCCCACCACAGTCCCGCGAGATCATCAAGCACAGCCTGGCACAGTGCTAGTCTGATCTAATGGCCTGATTTGACGCAGCTTCACCATGTGTGTATGTTGTTATCAATTCACAAACACAGCCTTGCCCAAGGTGCTAGTATCACAACCAATCACAACCTCTTATTGTGTTTGGAAATGGCAAGTAGCGCTTAAGTGAGTTGTAGTTCAGTGAGGGGATGACTTTCTGCAGGCAACGACGCACAACATCTTATGATGCCACATGAGCAGTGAGTTCAGAACTGATGAATGGGGTCTTTGGTATCTGAGGGCGTCCATTGACTCAATAGCCTTTCTCTTGAATGAAAAGGTAATCTGTACTGTTATACTTGCAAACCTATAGCAGGATATCAGTGTGCTATTCAAGTCTGTATAGACTTCCTTAAACCTGAATGGTAGAAAAATGCTAAGAAAAAATACAACAACTTTATTATAGTTATATGGTGTTCATATGACTGATCTTTTGCATTGATTTATTACAATAGCAAAATATACTTGTGTACGAAGATCTACTTTGTGTACAAAATGCAACAACATTGTCTCTAAGAGAGATTAATCTGTCAAATGTTCTATTGAATTATTTGAAATGTTTGTATATATTCTGCAATGTTGATGTATTATTACCTGATAGAGACATGTTTGGAAGCATGAAAAAATAAAGAAAAATGCAGTATTTGACTTCGTTTCTCTACTATTCTTTGTGATAAACGTGTATTTTGGAAGACCTCATGCATGTATAAGTGGACTACAGAAGTCCTCAACAAACACAAGAACATTTACTCAAGTTCAATTTCAAGATACATTTTATCTTCTACTTTATATTTTCTACTCCATTACTACTCTGGGGCAAATATTGTACTTTTTACTCCACAACATTTGTCTGACAGCTTTATTTACCTTGCAGATTACATTTATACCCTTCCTTTCCAGTAAAATCCTTGTATCTCCATAATTGTTGATTTTGAATGTGAATTTTCTGCTAAACTGAAGGATTCAACAAAAATCTTCTACTTCTATAAGCTAAATTAAATTTAAAAACCCTAAAAAGTATTTAGACATACATGATCTTATAGAATATGATGCATTGCTGTAGATTAAACTACCCAACAGTAGGCTACATAAAGTAGTTAAAATTAGCTCTACCTTGAATGACAACAGCATTAAAATGCATCATACACATTAATACAGCAGTAATATTAATCCCATGATATATAATAATAAAACACAGACAGGGACCGTTTTCCTGCAAAATAAGCCCTTCTACTTTAAACACTTTAAGTACATTTGCTGATAATACTTTATACTAATATGTTTCTTTACGTAAAGTTTATGAATGCAGGATCTGTGTGGTTATGATGGGTTTTTTTTTACAGCACCCTCCTTCCACCACTGTATCAGACACTGCAGTCCACAAGATCTCAAATCAGAGCATGGAGATCATCACTGCAGTGAGTGATACAGGAGTCTGGGGCCCCCATCCATGCTGCCATCTAGCGGTGGTCGGTTGCTATAACAACCCGAAGCAACCTGCACATAATAGGACACACCTGTTGATCTGTAATCTACGTGGCTGCCAACTGAGTGCACGGTGCCTAGTCGTCTCAGATCCAGCCCTTTTGTTTTGTTAACACTGACAGTATTGGTCCGCAGTGATGAAGACAAGGGGGGATAAAGACAACAGTCACACTTGGAGACTTGTTTACATGCGAGAAGAAGGCTGACATGTTACTGTTGGATAAAAAACACTTTCAAACACAAAGTGGTCCACATTGATTGACACACCGACCCACCTGTGCATCCAGAGACAACGTGAAATCTCAACTGAGATCAGCAGTTCTCTAAAATTCCCCCTCTATGTCCTCTGTAATGAAATGTCGCAAACAAGTCAGAGCACACCATCGGATGTGGCTGAAGGTTACCCCGTGACAAATTTGACTTTAGTCGTCCTTTTGCTGATACCCTGTGTGGTCATCCTGCTGCTGCTGAACTGCCTGTTTCTGGGCTACAAGTTATTGAACCTGTCAAAGAAGAGCAACAGACAGAAGCGAGAGGACACAGAGGAGATGCTTCTGCAGTCCACCCTGCAGAGGGCAAGACGAGTATCTGAGGTGGCCTTTCCTCTGCAGGACGTGAGGAGAGCCTACATGTCTCTATCAGAGCCCGTCCTGCCCCATCCTGTCACCTCTTCCAGGGCTTCATCCAGGGAGAGGGCCGGGGAGGATCACAGGTTCCGGCTCCTGAGGCCAGATGGTGCCACCGGCTCAGGGTCCCTGAGGGCGCCGAGCACCATCCGGGCCGCTTCCTCTGCGGCTGGTTTCACCCCGAGATTCGACCTGGCCTCCGGCTCACGGCCATGCAGCATCAGCAAAGCGGGCTGGTGTAAAAGCGCTCCAGTTCTACCGCAGTCCAGTGATTCAGAGGCTGAAATCAGAGTGAACCTTGTTCCACCAAACTCCCCAATGGTGAGTGTAAATAACTAAAATAAATAACCAGGAAGAGACCTAAGGAGTCAAGGGTCATTGTTAGGGACTAATTGGTGGATATTTAATTCAAGAACTTCTGTAGGAAAAATAACCTAAACACACAATTTTGACAGTGGTGCCAACACAGACAGGTTCAAACTAGCACTCAGGAGCATGGCTGGATAAAAACCTGCTTGGGGGGCCCTGGGGCCAAAATGAGCTACTTGGCCCCTGTTACTGTTCCTCTTTATTCATTTTGGACATTATTCCTGGAATAATACCCCAGGTTTTCATGTTTGACAATTATCAGAATATCAGCACCTTGGGCAAGGCTGTGTTTGTGAATTAATCACAACATACACAGACGGTGAAGCTGCATCAATATCAGAATATCAGATCAGAATCACTTTTATTAGCCAGGTATGGACACGTACAAGGAATTTGACTCTAGTTTTATGTTACTCAGTGTACATACATACACAGAATAGGCATATATACAGCAGAATAAACAGGACAACAAGCTCAACAAGGAAAACAAACTGCTATGTGCAAATAATATATGTACAGCAATAACATTTGTAGACAGTGAGATAATAATGCAAAATATTTTGTAGCTGGTTATCTTATATACATGAGGTAGGTGGATATTAGGTGATATGAGGTCTTTATAATTAGATCTTGAGAGCAGGACTCAAAATAACTTGATTTATAGGTCCTTATTATGTCTGTTGATGTTTGCTTTAGTGTTTCTTGTTCCCATGATACCCAAAAAAATACCAAACAAAGTTATAGTCAATAAAATGACTACAAATCAGTCGCCACAGAGTGACTTCGGGTTTGTTGAAGGGTCCCTGGAGGTCTGGGACACAGGACAGTTGTTAGTTAGTCACATGTTTCAAAAGTTTATGGTATTATTTGTAAATATTGAAACATGAGTAAACATTTTGATTCCTAAATAATAGAAATATTTTAGCTTATTGTTGTAAAATGTATTTAAATATTAATATTTCTTACATCTCAGGGTTTTTTTCTTAATAATTGTGATGGGTTGATTTTGATTTAAATCAGTTACATCTTGTTTTATGTGGACAGGTTGCCAAGCAGCAATGTCATATATTTGACACCCTCACATCTCTAGTAATTACGATCAATATATTACTGTTTCTCAGCTATCACTGTAGCTCTCTGTCGCTCTCATGTTTGGTGCAAAAGCTCTCCTTTTTGTTTAGGCACTGCAGTCTTCAGAGATTACTTGTGTGTTTCTGTAGGTGGAGCTCTTTTCTGTGACTGTTCTCCCGTATTGGATGTCACTGCTTATACTAACTACCATGCTCTTTTGGTTTATTCCAAACAAATAGGAAAAGTAAAACCTACATCCTATACTCAGATTACTACTTAAGAAAAAAACTAAAGTGAATGTCCAACTGTGTGCTGTCTTTTTTCCTTTTGTGTTCACAGCAGGAGACAGAATGTGTGGGTCATATTCGTCGGAGCAGTACTTATGAGATGCTGACAGATGTGAACCCAGGTGTTGCAGTGCATGTATTTGACAAAGTAGACATGGAGTGCGAGTACACCAACCCGCCTTCAGAGGCGTCCTGCCTGAACACGTCTGCAGTGGGTCCTGGACTGGACAGCGACTTTGGTGCAAGTGCAGGTACGCTTCAGTCTCCATCAGCTGCATACTAATCAATATGGCTGGTCATTAATAATTAATGTTACTGCTGCCTCAAACAAATAGTCTGGGGGTATAGTATGATGAAAATTGTACCTCAGAGCTGTTTGCTTATCTTAGTCATTCACACAGAATCTCACCAGTTAGGGACCTCAATTATCTTCCTTACTGAATTAAATCTGGTTGGAAGCAGTTTTATTTAGTTGTTTAAAACATGACTGCTATGTAAAGTCATAACATAACTTTTCTGAGTAATGTATGTAAGTTTTGTGGAAAACAAGGTGAGCACTGATTGCAAGCTATAGGCACAAGCAGTCCAATTTATGCAATATATATGGATAGTGTATTTTAATGTTGAATGAGGCTACTGTGAATCATTTCAACCTGCTTCTTTGTCCGAAAAAAAATTATGGATAGTTATGATAGCACTGGATTAATCAAGAAAACAGATCAAATTGCTATATAGTAGACTAGATCTCTTTTTATTGAAGGTGACATTTTCTATATGTTTTGTCATCTGAAATATATAAATCCAACTCTTAAAAGTGCTCAATATTGCTTCTGCTACAATATTTGGGTAGAAAAATTATTTGTTTTACATCGTCATTGCCAATAAGAGGCAAGTTATCTGGTGACAGGGAATTAAGTATTACAGTGGGACTCAGAAATTTTATCAAACCAGGTGCCGTCCACATTTTAGAATTAATTTGCTTTATTTAAAGTCCCACTCCATGCAATATAAGTTAGCTTTCTGTTAATTCATTGCTTGTTTGTGCTGAGTTGGACACACATTGTTATCCAAAGTAGAGTATTTACATGACTTAAAAACATATAAAAAGGGAATCTTGAATATACGTGTGATTTCTTTTCAGGTGTTTCCTTGCGGATTCTTTCTGCAGACAGTGACGGTCTGTCCAACGGTGTTTTGGCTTCAGCTTTGGAGTGGGATTATTATGACCCCTGCTATGTCAAACAGAATAATGTACCCAAACATAAACACACACACAGGCCTGCAGTGCACACCAAACAGTACTGGGTGTGATATGTCCCAGCTGTCAGTAATTAGTAGTTTTAATGTTTATTTATTTATTAATTACTTATTTATTTAAGTTAACTAACCTATGCATATTTTGGTCTTCATTTATTTAGTTTGTCTCACTTATAATCACTATGATTGCACACTAGTTTAAACGGATTTGACTCGTGTTTTAATGATGAAGAATGCACTCTGCCACTGAATTTGTTCAAATTGTAAAATATTTACGAAGCACCTTCACTGAAGTTATTGTGAAATGTTTACCATGCACACCTTCCCTTATGTTAATGTTAATTCTAGACACTATTTAATATTAACAGGACTGTTCAACCAGTTCTAGATTTCATCAACATTCACATTAAGATTTGTATTCACTACTATTGTTTTGATTCACTCTGATCAATAAAGACTAATTTAGAATCACCAAAAGGATTTTTCTGATTTGGACATCTTCCATAAGCTACTCCTCACCAGCAGAGGGCACTGTAGTATGGTCAGTGTTAGTTAATATAAGAAAATATTGATACTGAGCCTTTCGTGTAGACTTATACTAAATATTATTAACCTGATTTTATGCTTGATGGTTGCTTGTCATAAAAACAATATATAGAAACAGTAAGCACAGTTGTTCTAGTTGGGTATTATGCAATGCAGGGCGCCTAAGCTCAGCAGTTTAAGTTTTTAAACATTACATTAAGAAGTTCCTTTGATTTGTTGAGCATCACTTCAAGTAGTTTGAGCCATAAAACACCACTTAAACTACAGCAACCTCAAAGAGAATGGAGTTGCAAGAGTATTCAGGACACAGGTTGCTGGTTGTAAGATTGTCCCTTCCTGCTTTCTTTCTCCCAAATGTACATGCTTTTCTGCAATGTGGCTGATCTGTGTCAATCAGTTGTCGTGACATAAAAGCTTGTCATCTCTAAATTCATGTAATATTCTGTGTGCGTGCATGTGTCCTCTCCAGTTGCATTTACAAACAAGTTGAGACGATTTAAAGGATGATTTCATACATTACTCTCGCAAAGCAAATAATGCAACATTGAAAACATAAAGGAATAGGCACTATTGTTTACTGTCAACAACAATGTGCATACATAAAGTCCCATTTGCTGGTTTTTCAGTGAGAGTTTTTGTTTTGATCTGAATTGCAGGTAAGAAAGCAACTGCACATCATCTGCTTCTCAACTGTTCTGCTCAACAAATAAAAGGCAGGATTTTAAAAACATAGTTTAGAAGTGGGGTTGTGGACTCCATCAGCACTGGTTTCAGTAGTTTTACTGTGTTATGTGATCAATTGAAACTTCAAATTGTTGTGTGAGACATCAAAACAGAAGTTGTTCTTCTCCAAGCACAAAAAGAGGCCATCAAGTGAACTAGTTGGAATACTTTATTCTCTGTTTTGAGATATCTGTACATTAAAGATGAAGTGCCCCTTGAATTTTTTTTTTCAAGTTCATAGAAAGTATAACTGACGCTGTACTATGCAAACATGAAAACAACCAGACCAAAAAGCATGACTCTACTCAAAGCTGGAGAGGAAATTCAATACAACTTGCTTGAGTTTTGCATCGGATGCCTCAGAGATTTGTCCATCAGCCCTGCAATTAAGAAGAGATCGGTTACAAAATACATACATACAGAACATAAACTACAATGCAAAAATCTAAATGCTGTTCCAAAACTCTTTAAACTCACCTAATAGCTGACAGCAGGTCTTGGTGCTGGCTCAGTACGTGCTGCAAGAACGCCTTCTCAAACTTTGTGATCTTGCTAGGCTCCATTTTGTCCAGATGTCCCCTCACACCAGCATAAATGACTGTTACCTGTTCTTCAATAGCCATGGGAGCTGCAATATGAAAGTATACAGCCACAATACATAAGAGAACTGTAGAATAAACACATTTTCTGAAAAAGCCTACTAAGTAAAAGGGATACTAAATGTGAATACTCACAGTACTGCCCCTGTTTAAGGAGCTCAGTCAGACGAACACCACGGTTCAGCAGCTGCTGAGTGGCGGCGTCCAAATCAGAACCGAACTGAGCGAAGGCAGCCACCTCACGGTACTGGGCCAGCTCCAGCTTCATGGTACCAGCCACCTGTTAATCAAAAGAAATCAACAGGTCAGAATCAAACACATTCATTGTGATAGAAGCTCAGAGATCGGTGATTAAAAATGAAGGCTAACCTGCTTCATGGCCCTGGTCTGGGCAGCAGATCCGACACGTGACACAGACAGACCGACGTTGATGGCTGGACGAATACCCTTGTAGAACAGCTCAGTCTCCAAGAAGATCTGAGTGAGAGAACAGCTTTTAGCAGCTGGTTCAGGATTTTAACTGCGACAAAGCCAGTCAACGAGTCACACACTCACCTGTCCGTCTGTGATGGAGATGACGTTAGTAGGAATGTAAGCGGACACGTCACCAGCCTGGGTCTCGATAACGGGAAGGGCTGTGAGGGAGCCACCGCCGAAGTTGTCGTTCATCTTAGCAGCTCTCTCAAGCAGACGGGAATGCAAGTAGAAGACGTCACCTGGGTAAGCCTCGCGACCCGGGGGACGACGGAGCAGCAGGGACATCTGACGGTAAGCGACAGCCTGTAGAAAGATAAAACATGTTGGTTAGGTTTATCAGCAAACTTAACTTTATTAAAACTACTCACAGACACCGGTTTTCCCTGTGTTAAAATCCCCTCTTACAATTGGTTAAATAAAACTCACCTGCTTGGACAGATCGTCGTAGATGATCAGGGCGTGCTTGCCGTTGTCTCTGAAATACTCTCCCATGGAGCAGCCAGAGTAGGGAGCCAGGTACTGCAGCGGAGCGGCATCAGAGGCCGTAGCAGACACCACAATGGTGTACTTCATGGCGTCAGCATCGGTCAGCCTCTTCACCAGCTGAGCCACAGTGGATCTCTTCTGGCCGATAGCGACGTAGATGCAATACAGCTTCTTCTTCTCGTCGGTTCCCTCATTGAAACGCTTCTGGTTGATGATCGTGTCGATGGCAATTGCGGTTTTGCTGCAATACAAATTTAAAGGCTAAACACCATGGATATACCGACAAACAGATCCATGTTGTAAATTCGTGAGTCTCGAGCTTTGAAGCACGATACTCTCTAGGTTTAATTACTTTGGGAAGAAAACGCCTATACCACCTTAAAGATCCCCTCCAGAAATGTATTTAGACATACACAAGAAAAACACAATTTCCACATTAAAATCCTTAAAAGCATCTACCTAATTAAAAATTCTATGACTATGCACATTTTATTAATTTTTTAAGTTTTCATGCTTGACACAAGATGTCCTTCCTCAGTGTATGTGTGCAGGTGGCTTCAATTTTCTACATCACACTTGTATAAGTTGCAAACTGGGAGATATATATACATATTGTTTGTCTTGTCACAAATGATGCTTATAGACCCAGATTTTCAATGAGTACAGAGAAAGTGAATTAGTGCATCTGAAAGCTTTTAAATAAGAAAACAATACTCAAGACTGTTTTATAGCATTTGTGAGTGTAACCGCATTTCAAAAGGCACTAGGAATACCATCAAATGCTGCCATGTGTTCATGTATTCCCTTTGAGCAGAGTCCTCTTACCCAGTCTGCCTGTCTCCAATGATGAGCTCACGCTGTCCACGACCGATGGGGACCAAACTGTCCACGGCTTTGATGCCAGTCTGCATTGGCTCCCTCACAGAGATACGGGGGATGATACCTGGGGCCTTGAGACCCACACGCCTGCGAGTGCTGGAGCCAAGCGGACCCTGTGAGTAAAATAATGGAATAAAAAGATCAGAAGTGGTATTATTAATCTCTCACATTTGGATAAACTATTTAATACGGCACGATACTGTAACATCTCCTCTACATAACCCTAATATAATAACCCAAGAGGGAAATTTGTGTAATTGACAGACTGCAGATAAATTTTATAGCTACACAGACGATACACAGACGATACACAGACGATACCCAGACTAAGACTAGACAGGGAGCACACATTACTCATTACACAATTTTTAAACGTATCCGTCACAGAATTAGTTTTAAGATGCTTTTATTGGTTTTTAAAACACTGAATGGCTTCCCCCGCCCCATCTTTCCTACTTGATATGGCTATGGAAATATGTGCCTGTTATTTCCCCCAAGCTTGTTTATTGTTCCTGAGGTCAGAACTGAAGGGCATGGAGAGGCAGCTTTTGTTTGTTATGTCCCTGAACTATTCTTAGGCTGCCTGAGGGTTTAAGGGACTCCAAATCCTTTAAGTGTTTTTACTTTCCAATGACTTTATCCCATCTTGTCTTTCATGTAGCTTTATCTTATTATATTTTTTATTGTTTTATTGTAAATGCCATCATTAATTGCTTCTACATAAAGCACTATGTGTATGCGACATGCATGTTATGCATGAATTATGCTATAGAAATGCAGTTTATTATTATTATTATTATTATTATCATCATCATCATTTACCTTTCCATCAATAGCATTTCCCAGAGCATCTACGACACGGCCCAGGAGCTCCTGACCAACAGGCACATCTACAATAGCACCTGTTCTCTTGACTATGTCGCCTTCCTTGATCAGCTTGTCGTTACCAAACACCACAACACCAACATTGTCGGGCTCCAAGTTCAGAGACATGCCCTGAATAAGAGAAGAAACAACAGTTACTACCGAGTGAATACAATCACTGATGTTTGAATCCAGTCTTGCTGTAGCAGCAGAAGATCAGTGTTACCTTCAGACCAGAGGAGAACTCCACCATCTCCTCAGCCTGCACGTTCCTCAGACCGTACACTCTGGCAATACCATCACCGATGGACAGCACACGACCAGTCTCCTCCAAGTCGGCACTGGTGTCAGCTCCCAAGATCTTTTCCTCCAGAATGGACGACACCTCGGCTGTGCCTATAATGTATGTTAAGTGTTAATTAAGAAAAGTCCCCAAATAACAAGTTTGGAAACCCCGTTTGGTATTACTGTTACCAATTA